CTAATGAAATAGCACTAACTTATACCAAGCAATCTTAGAAGCAGCTACCTAGCCACTAAACTATAAACTTTTTTTGAACTGATTTAAGGATATTTAGTCTATGCGCAGTTATTTATAATTAAGATCAAACGCAGTATTTATGCACTAACATGAATATTATGAATATATAAATGCGATTAAATTATTTCACTTCAATACCGCCCCATAAAGATATGTTTGATGTGCCACGCGGCAGATTTATATGCTTGTAACTCTTCTACACAGATATTCGCCAACACACGCACACAAATAATTGAAAGAATCTGCTATTCGAACATCGGCTTAAATATTCTAATTAAATATCTTGTAAGCATAAATTTTTCAAGTTGATGAACTAGTAGTTGTAATTTCACACTGAGTAATTTCGTAATTATTTAAGCAAATGGTTTAAATGCACGAGCGCCCCAACAACAGCAATAAAATGAGATGAAAGCGAACGCTGCTTTAAATTTACTTCTCCGAAATTTGTACTTATACGAATTTTGAATGCCGGAAAACTTTTTCAAATAACATGTGAGTGAAACTGGTTTGTTAGCTAATTTAGTATTTGCCGTTATTTTTAGGCTTGCTTATGAGTCTACTGGCCCACATAGTAATGCGGTGGATAAAAGACTCGACTTTAAAGTACCTCAAAAAGTAATGTTCTTGGAGAATGTATTTGGATTTCTATAGGAGAGAACAAATAGTGTGAACTTATCTATGGTACACATTGAAATTTTTTTCTTTCAAGCTGCTTATATAACTCAAAGCAGTAAACTAAAGCTGGCATAACACTAATTATTAAACCCGCCCATGATCTCAAGTCCAAATGCTCTCTCAATTCAGCTTTAAAGAAGCGCATTGCTCTCGCACTTCGATTGTGCCGCAGAGCTTACCCCTAGTGGCTTCCAGGAGATATGTGCGTTGAGCGTAGACGCTGGAGAAGAGTCACAGTAAGCTTTTTCGTGGATAGATCGAAGCTCAGGGAGCTCTCAGTGAACTATTGTGGCATCGATCTACTTCCATATTAAACATTTCTTGATATGAAACAATCTTTTTGATCAATACTTAAAAGTTCTGATATTACAATAGAAAAGTGTTACTAGAAGTCAAGGTAGTTTAATTTGTGGTCTCTAGAATTTGAGAATATTTACCAAATCCTAACCTAACATAATAAAAACAAGTAAGGAAGGGCTAAGTTCGGGTGTCACCGAACATTTTATACTCTCGCATAATAAAGTGATAATCGAGATTTCAGGCATGGTTGTGAACCGATGTCACTCATATTTGGTACATGTCATCACGGTGTTAAGAAAATACCACATACCGAATTTCATTGAAATCGGTAGAGTACTTCCTGAGATATGGTTTTTGGTCCATAAGTGGGCGACGCCAGGC